TTACTGTACCTTAACATAACAAGTAAATACGTTGTTGTTGTTGTTGTCTTTTTAAATATTGATATGGGATCTAAGACTGCAAAGTTATATCACGGTATATATGGATGGTCCTTCACAAATGTGAAGGGGAAAAAAATCACCAAATTACGGTATGTGCATCAGGGTGACAACTATGTGCACCACGTGATAATATGGACCTTCTAGACAAGTGTGTGAAAAATCAGACCTCGGCAGTGACCGGGAGCAGTAGTAAATAAACTATTCATTTACTTCCACCGTTCGAATAAGGGAACACTGGGCATACATGGGTTAAATGCTCTTTTATGTTATTTTAAAATTGTGCCACATCTAATCCAATTTAAGGGGAGGGGTGTTGAAATGTAAAGATGGCACAGACTAATTTTACCGTAAATCTTTCTTTCATCAACTTCCTGTCACAAACGCAAGCGCAGTTTAAAATACCTCAGAGCCTCGCAGTCTAACAGGCAGACACAAACGCCACCTGGAGGTTCGGCTAACGCGAAAGGAGAAAAAAAAAAATTCTCACGAAAAAACATTTAGAGTTCACCATGGGAGTTAACTAACTTACTAGAAACCCATGAAATGCAAATGGTAAATTAGCGTGGGGATGTTTTTTTTTTTCCAAGCACCGCTCAGAAACCAGGGGCATGTCCAGAAGCTGGTCTCGACGTGCTAGAGGCTTTGGCAAGCCGTACAAACTTGAAACAGAGAAGCAGAAGAGTTTTAAATTCGTTAAAAGAAATATCAGTTGTTGTTGTTGTTTTTGTTTTTTTTTTTTTTTTTTTTTTTTTTTTTTTTTTTTTTTTTTTTTTTTTTTTTTTTTTGTTATTAATATTTACTGATATCTGTGTTACTAGTCCAAGGGCATGAGTGCACATCAGTGCGTATTTCTGACGTGTTCTTTACTTACCAGATGGTGTTTAAACTGTTGTCTAGAAAACAATAGCTACAAGCCTTTACTGTAGTTTCATAGCAAAAATATTTCATCGTGTTTGAAAAAGTATTGAATTTTTATCAATAAATCTGATTATTGTTTTAAACATTCCGGTATAATCTAGTGTGACCCTGGTATTTTTATTCCCAGGAGACGTTACCCACATTAGCTGCGCCGCTGGCAGTAGCGAAGTTCGTACGAGAGTACGCTAACGAAGGATGTGACGTAGAGGGTAGCCCCCAAAATGAAGACGCCATTTTAATTTCCCGTCCACGTCTCGTCTCGCCACGGTTCACGTCATCGCCAACACGCATAATTTCAGAGGAAATTAGCTGCTCGCTTTATTGTGATAGGGGGAGATGTTAAAAGACACCGCGGAACCTTTGTGTTCGTTTCTGTCTTCATATTTAGATCTCTTCCTAACGGCCGTTGCTGACAAACTGAAGCTTTACTTCTCAGCACGACGCTTAAATTAAATTTATTGTTCCGTTTGTGGGTTGTTTTTTTTCCTCCCACGAGTTTTTTTTTTTTTTTTTTAAAGCTTTATACTTGAAAACACGAATTAGTGTGTGGTTTGAAAATAACTGGTTGAACGACGATCTATTTTATTTTTTTTTTTTTTTTTTTAAAGCTTCATACTTGAAAACAGGAATTAGTGTGTGGCTTGAAAATAACTGGTTGAACGACGATCTATTTTTTTTTTGGGTTTCTGTGATCGGCTTCATAAAATGAGTTCAAGGCAATATGAAAGTAACATAACACTAAATTGTTTTTCAAAAAAAAAGATGAAGTGAAATGGGACAAATTAACCACGATAAAGACGGTGAAGTCAGAAATAAAGAAAATTTATATGACAATTAAATTGTTTGACAAAATTAGAACGCTTGTAATGGACCGTGGGGGAACCGCTTTTGAAACATCTCCACTTTTATTTTATCCGATGCTACCAATACATTTTTATTTCGTTTAAAAAAAAAAAATATGCATTAAGTCTAGGATTAAATCAAATTTCTTTTTCAATCTGAGTGAACTAAGTGGTCAGCATTGGTCAGCAAAAAGTTCCTGTAAAGGTTGATGCTTGTAAACTGCCAGCGCTTTCTGGTAGCCTATATTATAGTCAATAATGTAAAGTGTCATATTGTGAACACATATAAATCTTAAAAAAGTGAAGACCGATCTGGATATGTATAGCTTCAGCTGTGTCTTGTTTCAGTATGCACTGCTCTTAAGCTGTGACGTGTTTCAGTATGCACTGCTCTTAAGCTGTGACGTGTTTCAGTATGTACTGCTCGTAATTAAGCTGTGAAGTGTCTCAGTATGCACTGCTCTTAAGCTGTGACATGTCTCAGTATGCACTGCTCTTAAGCTGTGACGTGTTTCAGTATGCACTGCGCTTAAGCTGTGACGTGTTTCAGTATGCACTTGTTACTTGTTGTTCCTTCTTTTCTCCTGTCTGGTGAGGAATGCTCTAAGCCGAAACGTTCTCCTTTTATTGTCCTGTCATTATATTTCATTCTTCCGCATAGCTGGTCCCACTCCTAAATATATGTAAAGGTACATCAACCCTCGCTAATCCTTTAACACAACTAGATCTAATCTTCTATCACTGTCAGATCTCAAGTTTTAATCAATATCATCCCATACTAATCTTATATCACTGTTAGATCTCAAGTTTTAATCAATATCATCCCTTGCTAATCTTCTATAACAGCTAGATCTGACCTTTTAACAAATATCATCTCTTGCTAATCTTCAATCACAGCTAGATCTGACCTTTTAATCAAATATCATCCCTTGTTAATCTTCTGTTACAGCTAGATCTGACCTTTTAATCATTATCATTCCTTGCTAATCTTCTTTTACAGCTAGAGCTGACCTTTTAATCAATTTCATCCCTTGCTAATCTTCTATTACAGCTAGATCTGACCTATTAATCAATAGCATCCCTTGCTAATCTTCTATCACTGCTAGATGTGACCTTTTAATCAATAGGATCCCTTGCTAATCTTCTATCACTGCTAGATGTGACCTTTTAATCAATAGGATCCCTTGCTAATCTTCTATCACTGCTAGATCTGACCCCTTAACCACCATGACCCCTCGCATAACTCCTATCACCTATCCTTCACCACCATCACATGTTCGTTAGCATTGACACAGCCGATAAACGACTAACCGACCTGTTCAAAAGAAACACAAATCTTTGACTGGTGTGTTTTCCCATTGCTGGTGAACCGTGGCCGTGGGCAGTTCAATGAGCCTTGCAGTTAAGAATATGGGGAAGGGGGGGGGGGGGTTAATGTTTATACAAGTTTTTTTCTTCAATGGCGCCCGGTTTCAAAGGGTGGGTTTTTTTTTTTTTTCCCTTTTCCCCCTGTGCTTTGTCGAAACATCATAAGCTGCACGCTTTCTGAACATTCACCAGGTGTGTTCCTTACTTCTGACTTCGGTGATAGATTGTTTTTTTTGTCACAGGATTTACCTCTATTCAAAATGTCCAATCAGGAAACTCTAAGAAGCTTTTTTATGAGCTGATTTGAATGCGGCCAATTTCACAGGATATCAAAGACACAATTACGAGCTTTATATAATTTAATATCATCCACAATGCCATCATTTAATTATAATCATCATCAACAATACCATCATTTAGTAATCATCCACAATAGCATCATTTAATTATAATCATCATCCACAATACCATCATTTAGCTTTAATCATCCACAATAGCATCATTTAATTATAATCATCATCAACAATACCATCATTTAGCTGTAATCATCCACAATACCATCATTTAGCTGTAACGCACTTTTCGAAGCTCTTTTTGACAATGATGATAATGCAATGATACTATTGACAGCCATCAACTCTGTACCTCTGGTTACATATATTTCGTGATAAATCAAAAGGAATATATAAAAATATCTAAAATATTTATCTTCATAACTAATTTTACAGTCAATTTTTAAATGTTTCTATCGCCCTATACTTACTTTAAAACAATAATTATGCGGGTTGGGGGGAGGGAGGTCAAACACAACATCAACATTAAAGCTTTAATGTATCAAAATCAGACAGTAATAGATTAAGACTTAGATATACGTGATAATACTTAAATTCATCACAATGCAATACTTAGGTTCATCACAAGACAATACTTAGGTTCATCACAAGACAATACTTAGGTTCATTACAAGACAATATTTGGGTTCATCACAAGACAATACTTAGGTTCATTACAAGACAATATTTGGGTTCATCACAAGACAATACTTGGGTTCATCACAAGACAATACTTGGGTTCATCACAAGACAATACTTGGGTTCATCACAAGACATTACTTGGGTTCATCACAAGACAATACTTGGGTTCATCACAAGACAATACTTGGGTTCATCACAAGACAATACTTGGGTTCATCACAAGACAATACTTGGGTTCATCACAAGACAATACTTGGGTTCATCACAAGACAATACTTGGGTTCATCACAAGACATTACTTGGGTTCATCACAAGACAATACTTGGGTTCATCTCAAGACAATACTTGGGTTCATCACAAGACATTACTTGGGTTCATCACAAGACATTACTTGGGTTCATCACAAGACAATACTTGGGTTCATCACAAGACATTACTTGGTTTCATCACAAGACAATACTTGTGTTCATCACAAGACAATACTTGGGTTCATCACAAGACAATACTTGGGTTCATCACAAGACAATACTTGGGTTCATTACAAGACAATACTTGGGTTCATTACAAGACAATACTTGGGTTCATCACAAGACAATACTTGGGCTCATCACAAGACAATACTTGGGTTCATCACAAGACAATACTTGGGTTCATCACAATTCAATACTTGGGTTCATCACAAGACAATACTTGGGTTCATCACAATTCAATACTTGGGTTAATCACAAGACAATTCTTGGGTTCATCACAAGACAATACTTGGGTTCATCACAAGACATTACTTGGGTTCATCACAAGACAATACTTGGGTTCATCACAAGACAATACTTGGGTTCAT